TGGCTCTAAAATCACAAGGGGAGATTCGGGTTTAGGGTTTAAGCAGTCGTCGTAGTCGTCTTCGTGGTGGTGGTAGAGTAGTAGTAGTAGTAGTAGTAGTAGTAGTAGCAGTAGTAGTAGTAGTAGTAGCAATGTATATAGTGATGGTCTTGCGACTGCTTGTATTGCTAATGCTACTTGCTACATGCTACTGCCACTACTCCTGCTGTGCTGCTTCGGTGCTGGTGTTACTCTATATCTCTGCCACTACAATTATGCACTGTCCCTGATAAGCTGCTGTGGCTTGGTTGCCTGGGGTCGCCTTGCAATGCATTTCAGCCGAAGCAATCTTTGCCGATATATCCTGTACGCTTCTGGTTTAATATAGAGTTGCTACCCTCGATCTATAATGTGTTGATTGTTGCTCCGGTATTCACCTAGGGCACGTCGTTGTCTAGAGACACAATCTCAAACAGAAGGTCTAACAGACTTTATTGTGCTTTCAAGCTTAATGAGTTCTGTGCTCACGTGCATGCCCCACTCTGTGTGCTCTGCTTGCCTGTGGCTATCGAGGTCCCAAACGTTTACCAGGCTCCTTCGTATAGTCTCGGTGTGCTGTCCAGCGACGTCATGCCGCCCAAGAAAGGATCCAGCAAAGCCAGCAAGCCGGCGCCCACGGCCGAGGATCAGCCTGAGATTCGGCAAAAGCCCGAAAAGTTGGCTGATGTATTCAAGAGGGGCAATGCTCTTCGGAAGCTACGCTCGGCAGCCAGGGATGCTTCTGAAGACTTTTCAGAGGATACCTTGTTGCTTGAGGATGGTAGCTGTGACATAACGCTTGGAAGTCTGATGGAATCAGAGGGTTTGAGCAAGAAGGAGGCCATCAAGGTAATGCTCCAGTTCCGTCTAGACAGTGGGGGTGAGGAAAAGAAACCCGCCTCGAACAAAGGCTGGACCCTCCCGCCTGCATCGAAGCCTGCTAAGAAAAGCAAAGAGCCCGAGGCCAAGGATTGCTATGAAGCCAAAGCCCTGAGCCTCATGCCCTCAAAGACCAAAGATGGGAAAAAGACCTCCGAAGTGGAAGACCCGCCAGAGGAAGACAGCAACAACAGCAACAAGGCAGCAACCGAAACGAAGGCGACCGCCAAAATGAAGCGCAAAGAGTTGTCTGTGCACATGGATGAAGCAAATCAGGGGAGGAACAGCTCCGAGGCCCCAGACAAGAAGAAGAAGAAGATGGCAGAGGAGACCTTGGATGACCCAGACAGTAGCACCACGAAGAATCCCGAAGTGGTAGAGGAAGCCGAGAACCCAGAGACCAAGAACCAGAAGAAGCCCGAAGCGGTAGAGGAGGCCAAGATCCCAAAGACTAGGATGAAGAAGAAGACCTGTGTGGTAGAGGAGGCCAAGGACCCAAAGACTAGCAAGAAGAAGAAGACCGAAGCAGTAGAGGAGGCCAAGGACCCAAAGACCAGCAAGAAGAAGAAAACCGAAGCGGTAGAGGAGGCCAAGAACCCAAAGACCAACAAGAAGAAGAAGGGCACTGAAGAGGTAGAGGAGGTGGAAGGCGAGGTCATCGAAACAGTTGCTGCTCCCCCGGCAAAGAAGAGCAAGAGGAAGGCCAATCACGAGGTGGAGGATCATGAGTGCACGGGTGATGACATGCAGGATGATCATGCAAAGGATCCCCCCGCTGAGCCCAAGAGCAAGGGTGCCAAGGAGGCACAATCCAGAGAACAGGAAGTGGAGGAAATGGTGGAGGAGATGCTTGCGCTCATGGATGCAAAGGTTCCCCCCGCTGAGGCCAAGGGTGCCAAGAAGGCAAAGTCCAAAGATCACGTGGAGGAGGAGCATGAGCGCATGGGTGATGACATGCAGGATGATCATGCAAAGGAGCCCCCCATTGAGCCCAAGATCAAGGGTGCCAAGAAGGCGAAGTCCAAAGATCAGGGTGCCGATCCATCCCAGCCCGCCCCAGCATCAGTGAAGGCAAGTGAATCCAAGCCTGGCAACCTAGCCCTGAAAAACCGTCCCAAGCGTGGGGAGAGCCGATGGCAGCTTAGCTTCATATGGGCTGTCGTCGATCTAACTTTGTGTTTTGCTTCACTTGTACATATGATGGTGCTTATAGTCTGCTGTCTCAGGTCTTGTGCGAGTCTCGAGATGGGACAAGAGCAGCTGCTTTCCGAGAAGCAGAGCCGCGGCTGGACCTCCGAGACCGATTCTGTCTCCGGCGGCCAGAGCCAAATCAGTGAGATTCTGGAATCGTTCCTGAGCTGCTTGTGCGTTCCTAATATGCTGGGCATCGATTTAGGGTTTAGGGTCTGGGGTGGAGTGTTTAAGGGCTTAGGGTTCAGGTGTTTAGGGCTTAGGGTTTTAGAGTTTAGGGTTTTCGAGCCGGTTGAGGATTTAAAGGTTTAGGGTTCAGGTGTTCGGGTGTTAGGGTTTTGGGGTTTAGTTTTTCGGAGCCGGGTGAGGGTTTAAAGGTTCGGGGTTCAGGTGTTTGGGGTTTAGGGTTTAGGGTTCAGGGTCTTCGGAGCGGTGGTTGAAGGCTTAAAGGTTTAGGGCTCAGGTGTTTGGGGTTTAGGGTTTTAGGGTTTAGAGTTTTCGGCGCCGGTTGAGGCTTTACAGGTTTAGGGTTCAGGTGTTTGGGGTTTCGGGTTTTGGGCTTATAAGGGTTTGGGGAGCTTGTGCTGAGATCAGCTCGGGTCTAATTAACTCCACAATTAACTTAAAGCCCCAGCCCTCCTGTCCTGCCAGCATCGTGACAAACTCCAAAGCCCCAGTGAGAAGCTCAATAAACCATCAGTGTCCCAACAAACCAACAAGCCATAGGCACTATAAGCACCGTTTAAACCCTCGAGTCCCTCGAGTATCCCTATGGACAAAAGCATATATCACAAACTTGAACCTCCAGAATAAACCCACAAGCCGTAACTCCCCAATCCCATGAAGGAGGCCCGTGCTACACCGGGCCCTGTGCATCAAGTATTCTCAGATTTATCATCTATATATAAACCTCCCCCAATAATTCTACGAGCAATGTTTGTGGTTTTGAGGCTGGCAAATATTCGGCACACTACCCTAAACCCTAAATCCTTAAACCCCAAACACCTGAACGCTAAACCTTTAAACCCTCAACCGGCTCCGACAACCCTGAGCCCTAAAACCCTAAAGCCCTAAACCCCAAACACCTGAACCCTAACCCTTTAAACCCTCAGTCTATATAGGCCCATGGTCTTGTCTCCCCTCAGCCAACTCTGGCCTTGCAATCTTTTGGGGAAGCTTAGGGTTTAGGGTTTGGGGTTTAGTTTAGGGTTTAGGGTTTAGGGTTTAGGGGTTAGGGTTTATAGGGTTCAGGGTTCAGAGTCCGAGGACGGGCCTTGAGGATCGATTGTTGTTGGGGTTAGACACCCTAGCTCAGGTTGAGACCAGAAAACCAACCCAAGATACTATCAATTCCTTCCGAGGAACAATCATCAATAGGGGATCCCCTAATCTAATCGAGGCAATCAACATACCCAGAAGCTTCTCAGTTTGAGGAACTAATCAATACAAGTTCCCTGTGATTACAAGTTATCCGAAGAACCAATCAGCAACCTGTAGAAGCTCCTCAAGTGTTAAGGGAGGAACCAACTAGCAGTGAATGGCTCCAACCTTGTATCCTAGGTATTATTGTCTATAAAAAATCCAGCAAAAGCCCCAGGCTTGAGGTTTACGATCCATACCCTAGAGCCCTTTATCGAATTAAGGAATCGCACCATATAACCTAGGATCGCTACCCCACCTCTATAGATATATACACCCTAACACCACCACTTCCAAGGTTGGGGGCCTCGGCCTCGCAAGTGACCTCTTCTGGGGATTACTCTGCAGTCCTGCAGATGGTGAACAAGCTGCAAGAGCAGCTCAAGCTTGTGCAATCCGAGGTGGCTAAGAAGCCAGAGCCACCGCAGCCCGCAGAGGAGCCCACCGAAGATGTCGCCGATGATGATGATGGTGCCTGGGAGGAGTGGGATGAGCAGGAGGTTGAGGCTCCCGAGCCAAAGAAAAGACCATCGTTGTCTCCGAGTGAGGAGGAAGCTTGTGGAGCTGCCTATTGGGCAGGGGATGATGAGGAGCATCATGAGCAGGAAGGTGATGAAAAGGAAGAGGAGGAGGGTGATGAACAGGAAGGGGAGGAGGATGATGAACAGGAAGAGGAGGAGGGTGATGAAAAGGAAGGGGAGGACGATGAAAAGGAACAGGAGGAGGGTCATGATATGGATCAAAAGGAGGGAATGGATGAGGAAATGGAGCAGGCGACTGAGGGAGAGGATCGGCAGTTGGAGAATCATGAGAAGAAGGTTGAACCCTCCACCCGCGCAGTCGCTACACCGGCTCGTGCAGCCGCCGCCCTGCAAAACCTGCACCGTTTGGCTTCCACAAGCTCCTTGAAAGCCCCGTCCACCGAAGCAACCCAGCCCGACACCGTTGCTGCACCGCCAGCTGCAGTTGTGGTGAACTCTACGACGCACAAGAAAGAGTACATGCGACTCGAACCCTGGATCCCGGAATTAGCTATCTAAAAATGTAAATACATGTGTCAATGTGTGTGTGTGTATATGTGTATATACATGTACGTATGTGCACACAAACACAAACAACACACACACACACATACACCCACGCACGCACAAAATGGTGCCCAAGCAGTTTTCTTAATGTCTGATGAAGCTAAGAAGCGACTTGTGGATAATGGGCATTTGGCCGACTATCCGAACATGTCGGCTTTGGCCAATGGTACTGTGAAGGACTCGAATCATTGTGCATCGTGAGAAGGTTTTATTGCTTCACATGATATATCCAGTGCAAATATACCAATTAGTAGACATCGCTGGTGCAGGAAAAATCTGAACTTCTCCGTCGATGGGTGGCCACGGGCGAAAACCTGAGGGCTTGTGAATCCTCCATCCGCATGTCCAAGAAGAGTGTCTTGGAGGGAAAGCGGAGCATGGAATTGGTAGCGGTAAAGGACATGCCGCTTCCACCGTATCGGTTTTCCAAGACGCTTAGCATTACATTATGTGCTGTCTGGAGCTATTACCGTGCCACCGTGTCTGCAGTCAAACATTTATGGCTGATCCAAGGCCCAAGATCGATGCTATCGTGTCCCGGGGGGGCGGCGTCCCCGATCGGGACGCCCCCCACGTTTTGGAGGAGACAAAATTCTGGGTGACCACGTGTGAACAGAAGGTGGACTCGTCAGCTGTCTCGCTGCTAGGCTTGTGATCGGAGCAGTTTATGTATGTAGGCAGGCACATATGCAGGAACATCGATCAATGGGTGTTATGCATTGAGGTACGAGGAAGAAATGACAGTTCACACACGTGCCACGGCGGCAACGGCATCGAGAATCATGGATGGTGTGGTGGAACCCGGACTACACGCGAAGCGCACGCCCCCTTCGGCTTCTCCTCTCAGCTCCGATGTTCTTCGTGCGTATGACAGCTACAATACAAAGCTTTCGGAGGCTGTGGGCACTGCTGGGCAATCCGCGGCCGGTGACTTGCTACGATAAGCAAAGCCTCGTCCGTATCATGATATGTAGACACCACATGTATATATACACACACACACAACATATTCACCCCTAAATGTGCTCCCTGCAAACCCTTTAAAGTGCAAACCCTAAGCCAAAGCCTAAACCCTGTTAATGTACCTTGTACATGTCACCATCGTAAATTTAGGCTTCCATGCAACTCATTAATTCTTATGGGCCCTAAACTACAAAGTGATTTTACACATAGTCTATATTCGCTAACATCAAACCAAACCCCATAGTGAATTCAACTGTCGCTTCGAAGGGTAAAGCTTCGAATATGTAGGGCTCACAAGACTGTTGTTGATGTGATAAGGTGTGTTTGAATATGTGTCCTATCCATGCTACTGGGTTGGGTGATTCAGACATGAGGCTCTGCTCGTGGAGGCCGAGGAGCCGCATCCACGGCTGGATCCAAGCGCACTGCCGCCAGTGGCAGTGGGAAGACGAAGACACCCTTGGCTGAGGAGATGTTTCGCACCCCCGAGGAGAAGCACCAACGATGGAGAGCTCCGGTTGCAGGTTAAATTATGTGTTAGGGGGTTTCTGCTTAGACATCATATATTAACTAAGGTGGTGAGATCCGAAAGGAGCTTGCATCCTACGTGGCCATCTTGTTGGACTTGCCACAGGATGAGGAGCTAAAGTCCGAAATCGAGGGCAAGGTCGAGAAGCTAAGGGGGTACGCCCTCAAGCTACCCCGATACAACTGATAATTGTCGTGATTGCCTGACATCCTTGTACACTCCGTTGATTTGGTAGGGTTGTGTGGGAGCTCAGGTTCAAGAGTGCCAAGACTTTCGAAGCGATGAACCCGCTATGTGAGAAGATCCTCCGCCTGGTGTCGTGATGAATATTGCTCTAGTAAATCCTAACACCCATGTTGCATCAACCCTGATATGCACCCAATTTAAAAACCCATAACCCCTGCATATATACTGATTGCTCAAAAAAGCCTAAACCGCTAAAGCCCTAGACCCTAATCCTAAGCCCTTAAAACTTTAATCCCTAGCACTTTAAAGTCCAGTTGTTCGTTATATATGTGTACAGATATATGCCCTGGCTGATACTGTAATCCCCTAAATGCTGCCTTTTTGTGTATCCAGGCGCCTCTGCAGCAGAGCTCCACCCCACACCCTGAAAGCCTATCCCCCAAACTCTAAGCATATAGCCTATAACCCCCGAAAGCCGAACCCTGAACCTGCAAACCCTGGACCAGAAACTCCTAAGCCAAACATATTATATACACCCTAAACCCAGGGATAAATTTTTAAACCTTATAAACGCGCAACCTAATTCCTTTAAATATAAACTCCTAAACCCTACAAACTCTCTTCCATCCGAGGTTAACGAGATGAAAATGCTGAAGGGTAAGGCCAAAGGCCTGATCTCTGAGTTGAAGAAGTCTGCATAGGTTCTGGGCCGATCTGTGCGAGATTATAGCATTGTGTAAAGATCTGACTAAAAGCTACTGCTGTGTGTAAACTCTAAAAGGGCTTGGCCTTCGGCTAAAGCTGTGAACACGGGTGGCCTGGCCTACCTGTGCCTGGATACTCGGTAGGGTTATGGGGCCGTGACGGTTTCCGTGCCAGCGAGTATTCACCAATCATTAGGATGCAATTAGCATATCGATCAAAGGTGCAGCTGCAAGCAGCTCGGGGTGAGCAGTCTCTGTGCAGCATGACGAAAAATGAATCGATGTTCTTCATGCACTGCTCTCCTGCGACCCCAAAGCCAATGCCTAACCCCAATCTTATGTCCCTTCGCAGTCACGGAGCTGCCCACTTCATCGACCGCTGACACCAAGAATGCCTTAGACAAGAAGAAGCTTGGATGTAGATCTTTGTTTTCGAGGAGGTCACTAGTTCTTAAATTTTCAAGTCGGGAATTGAGGGTTGGGTTTATTGTTATGTCTTAGGCTTGAAGCTCGGATATGTTGTGCATGTTGTGGCTCGTGCTTGGGGGTTCAACAGGATTACGGGTGATTCAAACTTCTGGGGTTTCATAAGCAAGGGTGGGTCGATTGTGCATGTCGTGTGTAACTGTTTCGGGCTTTAAACTAGTGGCTCAAAGTTGTGGGTATTGAGCTTGGGTTGATGATTGAATGTTGTGTATCGTTATGTCATGTGACTGTTTAGCAGGTGCTAGGCTCTACCGGTGTATGACTTATAATTGGATCCATTTGAACCCTGTGTTCTTCATATGGTCTTGTCTCTGTGCAATGGGTGGCTTAGCTGGTTATTTTGCTGAGCCGAGGATTGTGGAGTCTGTTTGTGCTGGTCAATGCCACATCCAGTTGGGATGTGAACTGGGTGACTCTCCTGCAGCAATGCTCCTCTGTGTCTGTGTGTATAATGCTGTTCTCACATCGATCGGCCCGGCACAATTTAAGGTGGAATCTATGACTCCGCAATGCTTAGTGGCTATCCCTCGCGTGCGCTTCGGGAGGATGAGTTTCACCAAAAGGTCAAGGAAATGGGCTGTGCTTTCGGCTGTGATGTCTCTTGGGTTAGTACACCAATTCTGGAAGAAGTTCTGGAAGAATGCGATGATGAAGATTCAGACCGAGAAGAGCGAGTCTCTGTTACATCATGGCCAGTGCTCTTTCCGAGCTCGGTGGTGGCTTGGTGTAGTGTTCAACCCCTATCTTTATAAACCCACCCCCAACCTTAAATTCTGGATTAGTGTATCCTGCTGTTGCTTTAATTCTGGTGCTGGCATGATGTTTGTTCGAATTGTGCAAGTCTGCTGGCTAGCACTAAGGCGAGTGCATTGATATCAGAGGGGTACACGGACCTACTGGCACCCATGCACCTTCTTGAGGATTACTGGAACACTATGGCGCAGGAGTTTGACCCGAAGCTGATGCCCCCGAAATCACAATGGAGCACCACCGTCCCCTACACACTTTGGGGAGATGAGGGCACTTTAAACACAAAGTCCTGGATGTATGTGACGTGGAGTCTGGGCTGGATATAAATATATACAAATACCTAAATATAAATAAATATAAAGGTGTATATATATATAT